AAGACTTCAGTATCTGGGACCAGCAGATGCTGTAATGAATGCATTGCTGGATTCCCACATAGCTGTCCAAGGTTCGAATCCCAGACCTGGAGGCTAGAAACTCACGCCAGATGAGCGTGCATGTGTGGCCAAAATCCCAAGAGCAGAATGGAGAAGGGATTGCAGTGTGGCCATCCTCTCTGGGGGGTCATTTTCCCCCTTTCTGTCTTCTCCCTCTCTCTTTGTCTCACTGGAGAGCACACACACTATAGCAAAATCTCATTAAAAAAAAAAAGACTTCAGTAACCATTTTGCTATGAAGAAGGATATTCTTGAATATCTGGAATCCCAATACGACAATAAAGTACACTACTCCATGGCTGTACTTTGCATTTTGACAATTGTTACAAAATTATTTTTTTCTGAAAATATGGTCTTTGAGGTGAATCATGCTCTCTGAAGACAAATCTGTGCTGCTGGGCTCAGACCTGGGACCCCCGGGGCACTGGCCTGGACTGAGTCCTTGAGATGAACCAGTCCTGCAGCTGCACCTGGCCTAGCCACCCCTTTCTCATTTGCATATTGAGACCATTACGCTAACTGCTGGTTCCCAAGAAGGATATTCTTGAATATCTGGAATCCCAATATGATGATAAAGTACACTACTCCATGGCTGTACTTTGCATTTTGACAATTGTTACAAAATTATTTTTTTCTGAAAATATGGTCTTTGAGGTGAATCATGCTCTCTGAAGACAAATCTGTGCTGCTGGGCTCAGACCTGGGACCCCCGGGGCACTGGCCTGGACTGAGTCCTTGAGATGAACCAGTCCTGCAGCTGCACCTGGCCTAGCCACCCCTTTCTCATTTGCATATTGAGATTTATCAAGTAAAACATGGCACTAAAGATATTCTACACAGGATTATACTTTTTAATTTTTTTCTTTAATCTTTTCTATAGGGCATGTGCATTCACTGGAGAGACAGAGAGAGAGGGAGAAAGTCAGAAAACACCCTGCTGGGGGGATGGCTGTGCCACAATCCCTTCTCCTCCATTTTTCTCCTGGCATTTTAGACACTGATGCACACATGCCTGTTGAGATTTTTATTCTGAGATTCAAATCGCACAGTTGACTATGTGGGATCCCGCCACCTGAACCACCGTGCCATCGGCTGATCCAGGATTTTATTTTTAAATATATAAATAAGAATCTGAACTACAACTTTTAAGATTTTTTTAAATATAGAAATAAAAATCTGAACTTTTAAGATTTCTGAGAGTATAATGAAGAACCTAAATGCAGGGAACCAGCAGTTAGCATAATGACTATGTTGCTGGACTCCCACGTAGTCAACCGCGGTTCGCGTCCCAGACCCAGTAGCTTAAAACTCATGCCGGGCACATGTGCGTGCGTGCCCAAGATCCTGAGAGGAGAATGGAGGAGAAGGGATTGCGGTGTGACCATCCCCCCTGGGGGCTGATTTCTCGCTTTCTGTCTCTATGTCTCTCTCTGTCTGTCTGGCGAGCGCACGCATCCTATAGCCAAATTTTCTCCAAAAAAAAAAAAAAAAGAAATAAATGCAGAAACTAGACACAAGTAGTGTTTGAAGCCAGAGCACATATGCCACTGAAAATAATGGGCTACCTCACCATGTGGTCCTCAGACTGTCCAGGGAGCAAGGGTGGGGTGAGTCTGTAGTCCTCCCCTTTCACCAGGTGACTCTCTTGTCCTCTCCTCTGCTCCTGTGTCTGGCTGCACGTGCTGATGGCTGATACTGAATCATGGTCTCTGACTTCTCTCAGGGCGGGCTCTCACTGATCATGGTTATAGTGAATAGGAGCGAGAAAGGGATTCTGGTACATGAGTTTCCAGAATGGTGAAGATCTGAGTCATTCACAGTTCTCAGCCCCAGGTGTTCACTATGTCCCAGTGCTCAGACTGTATCCAGTTAGATAATGGCCTTCAATACAATTACATGCACTTCCAAATATCAGTAAATCTGGAATCATATTGAGAACATTTCATGGAGTCATATGTAAACAAAAAATGAAAATTTGCATTAAAAACATAGATGTGTGGGAGCCAGCAGGTGGTGTAGTGGTTAAGGCTCTGGACTCCCAAGTGACCAACTATAGTTCAAGTTCCATACCCAGCAGCTTAAAACTCATGAGGGGCACGTGTCCATGCTTACCAAAAATCCCATGAGGAGAATAAAGGAGAAGGTATTGTGGCATGGCCATCTCTCCTGGTGGGTGATTTCTTGCTTTCTGCTTTTTTCTGTCTCTTTAGTGAGCATCACATGCCCTATGGCAAAAATCTCTCTTTAGAATACGTGTGTGAGTGTATGTGTGTATGTGTGTGTGTGTGCATGCTTGTGTGTATTTGATATATTATCAATGTATATACACACATGTATGATGTATAATATACATAATGGTGAATGAAAAATCTTCTTGGCAGTATGTATACACACACAAGAATGTAATATTTTTTTCCCCTTAATGGACAAAACCTTGCTACTGGAAATCTGGTCAAACTCCAGCAGCAGCAGCAGCCTGAATATACATGCTACAAATGCAAAATATCTGATCCATCTGAGACCTTCTACTAGGTTGTCTGAAAAGTAGTGACTCATTTTTTCTATGTTTTCCAAGGGTCATTTATTTATATAAAGAATAAAGATCAGTCAATGATATATTACCCACTTTCTTCAACAACCTTTTGTCATCTTTTAGTTAGCTCCATAAATCCTCCTTCATGGAAGGACCTGTCTTTATCAGCAAAAAGATGAACAAGGTGCTGATTTACAGCCTCACTTAAATTAAACGTTCTTCCACGCAAAGAGTTTAGAAGAGAGTGAAACAAGTGGAAGTCTGATAGCGCAAGGTCAGGTGAGTACAGTGGTGTGGAAATATATCCCATCCAAGTTCCAGTCATTTTTGACAGGTGATCAAACTTGTGTGTGGTCTCACAACTCTGAGTTCATGAGGAACCCAAATATCGAGCTTCCTTATGTGTCCCAGCTTCCACAGATAGTCATGAACACTTAAATGATGAATAATCAATGTTCCTGCAATCTCTCATATCGTGCAATGTGGGTTTTACTTGATCAATGCCTTTATTTTGTTCTCATTAGCCTCAGTGGATTTCCTTGACCGAGAAGTATCTTTGAGATCAAAATCACCAGCATGAAATTTTGTGAACCATCATTGGCACTGGCATTCTTGTAGAGCATTGTCACCATACTGTATGCAACTTTTCACAAGCTTAATGTGTGTTCTTCCCTTTTCAGAAGTAAAACAGTAAAATAGGGCAAAACTGCAGTGGCCCCCAGGACTGTACATTTCCTACACGCCCCCTCCCATGTGACAGTCCTCAGTATGCACCTTCCTCCCTCCTTGGTCACAGCAGCTGCAATCTCCCTGTGCTCTGTTCAGACTGCATGGTCTATTTCTAAGAATGTTTCCCAAGGTTCGAGAGTCCTAAAAGACTCTCGAAATGTCTCTTGAAATCTTTTATTGCCATGCAAAGTTTTCAAAGACATTTATCTGTATTATGTTCCTTGAGTCTTTTCTCTAAGGTAGGTGATACTATAGGCAGAAAACTACAGAAATAAAGTAATATCCAAGGAAATAATAACAATTTCTGCAACTATGGACACATCATCTACACTGCCAAGTACCACTGACAGAAGTCTTCAAGGCTTACTATGTATCCAATACTGAACTAAGGACTTAATGATCTAAAGCGATTTAGCACACCTATCCTCGATAGAAAAGTCAGAGACTCTCAGAATTTGGCTTCCCCAAGGTACCAGTGCTTATAGGGAAGCAGGTGGAAACAGACCTAATAGTCCCATTCATTCATTTGTGTTAAAAGTGCATATAGCTAAACACAATCACATATATCTACTGTATTTAAGTGAATACAGAGTGCAGCTCCACGAACATAAACAGTACCTGCCTCCCCACACCCACTTTCCAGATCAAGATGCTCATTTTCTTCAGCACCCCAGCAAAGTTCCCAGGCTCATTCCTTGTCAGTGCCGTGCTCCACCCACCAGTGTGTTAGACCATATCTTTCCTGTTTTCTATCACATTCATCATTTTTCCTATTCTTGAACTTTAAATAGAATCATACAGTATCTACTCTTTAATGTCTTGCATCTTTTGATCAATGTATTTTTTGAACTAAATTTATACTGTATCTGTGGCAATCATGTGTTCCTTTTTTACTGTGGAAAAATGATCTTTTCTATGAATATAGTACAATTTATTCTTTAGTTATGAGTTGTTCTCAGTTTGAGACTAAAATTTGAGGTATAACTTGTAGATGTCACTCCTCTTGGATATATTTCTAGGAGTAGATGTGCCTTTTCATAATGTTGGTGTAAATTTTACTAAAGTAAACAGCATTCATAATTTACCATAACCTTCATGTATTCACACTCAATCATGTAACAAACATTCCAGTTAATCTTTAGTTGATCTTTGCTTGAAACTGTCAAACTTATTACAACTATTAATAAATCTAAATTGGTACCATGATTAAAAATTATACTTCCTTGCTAAATATTGATACTGAATAAGATTTTATGTGCTTATTTTTCATAAAATCATACACATATGGTTTTAAAGTTCTTGATTATAGTTTAGTCCAATTCATCACTTTTTTTTTCTCTTGTGTTTGTTTTCTGTGGTTATATGTGTATTATGTTCAATAAATTTTGCCACCTTCAGGGCTAAAGATTTTCTCTTATTCTTTTGTTTTAGAGCATCATTTTACTTTTTATTTCTCACATGTGGACTATGGTCACCATTTATTTCTATTTTGTCTAGTGTCAAGCAAGTCAAATATTTTATTTTTAAGTCCATATATGTAGTAAGAGGGCCTCACTCTCCTGTTTTCTCTTTCCACACTGCTGTACCCTCCAGGGGATTTGCATACTGTCCCCTAGGGAGCACCTTTCCTTGTAAGTCTAAGATAAAAGTCAGCTCTGATCTCTGGACTGCTCAGGACTCCCCAGTTCATCCCTCAATATGGGGTTCCCTGCTCATCTCCTGGGGCTGATAATGCTCTGGGTTGTAGGTAAGGGTGCAGAGGACTGAAGAAGGGGGTCAGATTGGTGGGTGGGCTATGGACCCCACTGCTTCCACTCTGCTCTGTCCACGTGTGAGATGGGTCCATCTTGTCTTCAGGGTGGGGCATGTAAAGTTTAGATCTGTGAGAGTGAGGAAGCTTCCAGAAGAAGCTAGAACCTGTGGCTCAGTGAAGATTGTTCACATAGAGAAAGCTGGTTGCAGGAGAGTGCTGGAGGCCCCCTGTGGCTTGTAAATGTGTGTGTCTTTTGAAAAATGGAGTACTTTTCATGTATAGATCAAAATGACAAAAAAAGAAGTTATTTATATAGACTGAAATAATACATGAAAATGACTCATGATGTTAATATATAACCTTTATCTCTCTCTCATTATTTCAGGATCCCGTGGGGATATTGTGATGACCCAGACTCCACTCTCCTTGCCCGTCATCCTTGGAGAATCAGTCTCAATCTCTTGCAGGTCTAGCCGGAGCCTCCTAAGCAGTGATGGAAACACATATTTAAACTGGTTGCTGCAGAAGCCTGGCCAGGCACCAAGGCTGTTAATATATATGGTTTCCAATCGGTTTTCTGACGTCCCAGACAGGTTCAGTGGCAGTGGGTCAGGGACAGATTTCACACTCAAAATCAGCAGAGTAGAGGCTGAGGATGCTGGAGTTTATTACTGTCTGCAAGTTATACAATATCCTCCCACAGTGATACAACCCCAAACACAAACCTCCCTGCTTGGAGTGGCCCAGCTGCCTTCAGGGGCTCTCTGTCTGGGGAACAGCACAACAGATTCTGAGTCTGCATAAGATGAAGATGTTGGAGAGCTCAGGGCACTAGGTGGCTGCTGTCTGAGCTCCAAGCGCCCTGCCCACAGCTCAGGCTCCAGCCATCTGTGGCCCTGTCAGCTGCAGCAGCCTCAGTCTGGAATCTGGAGCAGAAGGACAGGGTTGTCCCTTCAATGTGAGGGTTATGATCACGTGGTGGTTCATAATGAACTGAAGAACAGTTCATCCTAATCTTTCTTTCTTTCTTTCTTACATTTGTCAATTCACATTAATAGCATAAATGACAGAAATGAACAGATTTGTGGCAACTCATTTTTTTCATTTCTGATAGAATATTTGCTAATGTTCAGGAATAGTATTTTCTCAATTCCCAATTTCCTACTTTTCTTGTTTACTATTCATCTTCCCTCTCTATAGGATTAGAGAGAGAGTATTCTGTACAAGCCATCCTTAGGAGAAGCTGTGCAAGGAAACTTAGTACAAACCTTGGTTGCTTCGAGTTCAAATAGACTATTGTAAACTCATATCAGACTTAGTCTAATGCTAAAATTCTGTGATTTGTGCAATTACCTATGGCTGATACAAAATGGCACTATTCTGACATTACTAAAATTGTGTATTGAAAGTAAAAATCATAAGGCCAGCTCAATGATCTGATGGTCAAGGGAGTAGCATCCTACAGGGCCAACTGGACCTGAGTTCTGGACCCCACAGCTTGCAAAACAAATTTGGTGGGTGTACATGTGTCCCCCAAATCCTTAAGGGATGAAAAAAGTAGAATAAGAGATCACAGTGTGACAGCACTCCATTGGAGGGGATGCATTCTCTGTCTTCCTCCCTCTCTCTCTCTCCATTTGTTTCTTCTAATGAGAGTCTATGCCCTCTGATGGTATAAAAAAATTAAAATAAAACGTAAATGAGGGACCAGAAGTTGATGTAATGGCTATGTTGCTGGGCTCCCATGTAGTCGATTGTGGTTCAAGTCCTGGACCTGGTGGCTTAAACTCAATGGCAAAAACCTCTAAAAAAAAAATGAATAAAAAGACACAGAGCTCAAAATTTACCCCATGTCCCACTGGAAGATTACCATGCTGTCATGGTAATTTTGATTTAGAAATGAGAGCAAAAGGTAATACAATAGACTTTGGGCTTACATTTGGTAGAGCTGGGATAATATTAGGTATTGTGAATTGATAATATTAACCTAAAACGAAGTCCAGATATTTTTCCTATGAATAATCACAGAGTTAAAAGGAGCACTTCCTGGCTTCCAACGATTAGACTGGTGACCCTGCAAGTTTCATAGGAAAGTAGTGAATGGAGAAGGTGGTTAGGTCTGAAACCATCAAAGCTTATGTAAAGTAGCTGTGCAAAGGAATGGAGGTCATGGCACCCAGTCCCAGTCAACCCAGCACAGCAGAGAGCTAATAGTTACTCCACCCTGGGGGGTGATTTCTCCCTTTCTATCTCTCTATCTCTCTCTGTCTTTCTGGTGAGCGCATGTACCCTATAGCAAAAAACCTCTCCCCCCCCAAAAAAAAGAAACATGGAAAATGGTTATACAAATCAGATATAATGTGGGAAGTGGGTGGAAATTTAATTAGTCAACGTTGGTCTATAAGATTAATTTGAGCCTTCAGGTGTTATAGCTCAGAGCACAAACTTCACCAGTTGGTATAGTCCAGAATTCTGAATGGTCCTAGTGCTTCCTGGATGATGCAGTTGAGCTGGTACTCAGAGCTGCTCTGGATGGGTTTCTGGGATGGGAGAAATGAGGCTGGGCTGACAGAACTAGAGGCCTCTGCCATTATGCATTTCCACTTTTTCCAGAAACTTTTCCTAAAAATCACGTCTTTGTGGAACCATCTCTCATGCCTGGATCATTGATCTGGCACTTAACTATCTAGTAACTCATATCTTTCCTAATTCCTGGATGTCTGTTTATCTTTTATTCTTAACTAGATGAGGAATTATTTTTTGTTCCCACAAACCTCGCCTAGGGATGGATGTAATAGAATCATCTTCATGAATAACAGTGAAGAGATTCATGGTCAAGGCTCACTAGGACCCAGGATCAAGGGATGCTTTGTCACAGAAGACCATTAGGTGGCAGTCCAACCCCTCAATAAACAAAAGAGACAGGCCAGGCCTTAGAAATACTAGGAAAGTAATAGGATAATACTGTCCCATTATCAATACGGAGCCCATAAGGCATGAAGGGTGTCTCTGTGGTGACCAGGGACACTTGGAGGGGCTGCAAGTGGGCTTCTTATGGGAAACTCTTGCTGTGTGCTCTGTGCTCTGAGACTGGAAACCTGGCCATTCTCTTTCCTCCTGTTTGTCTGTGTTCCAAGAGCCCATCTTCTATAGATTGAACTATAACCTCCAAATTCATCTGTGGAATCCCCATCCCCAGTGTGGCCTTATTTGGAGATTGAGTCAAATGAGGCTGTCTTGGTGGGGTACTGATCTAATAGGCCTAGTGCATTAATAAAAGAGACACTAGGAAGCTATCTTTGTTCCTGCTCACAGGCACCAAGGAAAAGCCTGATAATAGAACTAGCAGATAGCATAATGTTTATGTCACATGTAGTCAACCATAGTTTGAGTCCAGAACCCAGCAGCTTAAAACTCACATTGGGCACATAGGTGTGGATGCCCAAAATCCTGAGAGGAGAATGGTAAAGAAGGGATTGCAGTGTGACCATCCTCCCTGTGGGCTTATTTCTCGCTTGCTCGCTCGCTCTCTCTCTCATGCGTGTGCACAAACACACGTGCCCTATAGCAAAAATTTCTAAAAAAAAAAAAAAAAAAGTCTTATTTTTGCCTAGCAAAGGCAATCACCTAAAAACCAAGATGAGGTTTTATCTTGAAACCAAACCATGCTGACTTTATAGATGAAGATCTACAGATTCCAGGTTTTGATTTCCTATATTACAGCCTTCATACTAACAGCTCTGTTTGATTCTTTTTTGTGGTGTGTATTTACTTTTTCAGATCATGCAAGAACTTCCTCACCTCCTGGAAATCACCATCTCTTTTCTCCTGTATACTCTGGAGTTCATTGTCTCTCTATTCTTGCATCTCTGTTAGATTTGTCACTATGAATATTCTAAATTCTTTATCTGACATTTCCATGAGTTCTACTGTACTGTCTGTAGATGAAGAGTAGTTATTCTTTTCACTTGGTGGAGAGGTATTCTCTTGCTTTCTCATATTTCTTGTGTCTCTGCAGTGATTTCTAGTCATCTGATAGGTGTTGTATTTCTTCCTAATTTTTGAAGTTCAATCTGAGCGTCCAGAGGCATGCTGGAAGAGGTGATCTGCAATCTCTCATTCGTTCTATTTTTCACTCTTTGTGTGTCAGATTTTGTGGGACTTGAGGAATATTCTGACTCTAATAGTAGCCAGAGGTTTGCTTATTGCTCATGGAGACCTGTCTAGACATTCAGTGCATGGAGGCTGAGCAGCCAAGGTATGAAGTTAAAAGAAAAAAGAAAAGAGAAGAGAAGAAGAAGAAAAAAGAAAGAAAAAAGGACAATAAAAAATTTATATTTGGGTAAGATTCAAACGTATCTTGTTGAGAATTTTGCACCTATATTCATCAGAGATATTGTTCTGTAGTTTTCCTTTTCTATCATTTCTCTATCTATTTTGGGAATGAGGATGAAGAAGGCTTCATAAAATGAATTTGGGAGGTTTCCTTCCTTTTGGATCTTTATAAATCACTTGAGTAGAATAGGGGTTAACTCTTCCCTAAAAGTTTTGTAGAATTCAGAAGTGAAGCCATCAGGACCTGGGCTTTTCTTTGTTGGGGGGTTATTTATTACTGATTCAATCTCATGGCTTGTTATGATCTATTCAGGCTTTCTATGTCCTTCTGATTCAATCTTGGTAGATTTTATGCATTAGGAATTTGTCCATCTCCTCAATGTTCTCTTATTTGTTGGCATATAGTCGCTCATAGCATCCTCTATTGATGTTTCATATTTCTATTGTGTCTGTTGTAATATTGTCTTTTTCATTCATATTTTATTTATCTTGTTTCTTTCATCTTCTTAATCAGTCTAGCCAAGGGTGTGTCAATCTTGTTAATATTTTCAAAGAACCAGTTTTTGTTTCCATTTATTTTCTTTCTATTTAATTTATTTTCTATTTAATTTATTTCTGCTTGACTCTTTTTTTCTAAGAATTATTTTACTTCATTCTATTTATTTATTCATCTATTTTAATTTGACCAGAGAGAGGGAGAGAGAGGGAGAGAAAGAGAAAGTGAGAAAGTAAACCACCAGGTCTGGGACTTGAACCATGATTTGCCATGTGGTTGTATCCAGTGCACTAGCCACCACACTGCTTGCTGGTCCCCTCAACTATTATATCTTTTCTCCTGGCATTTATTTGGGTTTTGTTGTTGCCATTTTCCCAGTTTCCTGAGACATGATGTTAGGTTGTCTGCTTGCCACCTTTCCGTGTTTTTCTTATGCACACTAATTGCTATGAATTTCCTTCTTGTGACTACTTTTGTGGTGTCCCACAGATTATGGAAACTTATGTACTCATTATCATTTGTTTCCATAATTTTTTTTTTATTTCAGACTAAATTTCTTCAGTAACTGAGAAGTCATTGAGAAGTAGGTTATTTAGTTTCCATGCATGTGTGTATTTTAAAGGTTTTTTTACTGAAATTAATATCAAGTTTCAGTCTATCACTGTCAAAGATGCAGGATAGAGTTTCTATGCCTTTGAATCTGTAAAGGATTGATTTGTGTCCTATCATATATATGGTCAATCTTTGAAAAAGTTCTATGCTGGGTGAGAAAGATGTATAGATTGTGGTCTTAGGGTGAAAGGTTCAATGTATGTATGTCAGGCCCATTTGATTTATAGTATCAAGTAGGTCCTGTATATCTCTGATTATTTTTTATCTAGAAGATCTGTCCAAAGAGATAATGGGGTGTTGCAACTATAGTGTTGCAGTCTGTCTTTCCTTTTAGCTCTAGCAGTTTTCCTTCATGTATTTA